ACTCTGATATCTTTATGGATTTCATATGGATTCATATCTTCCTCAATGTTAGGAATATATTATCCCGAAATACTTTTTCCACATGTGCAAAATATGTGGGAGTGATTAGCATCCATGGCCCACACTGTCTCCAAGACTGTTGTTGTGGTTGGAGTTTTTAACTTTTAAAATAAGGTGCAAAAAAACAATGTTTCAGGTGATGCGGTGGAGACGAACTGGTGAAGGAACATCAGAATTCAGACTGCAGCAGATGATTGTAGATTGTCCTTTCAGCTTTAAAATTCACTGTGCAGAGCAGCAGTAACAGAAGTTATATTGTAGTAAAAGCAGCTACAGGTGTGTGCAGCAGAGGGCAGCAGCCGCCTGAGCTGACTTCCCTGCAGCTTCAAGGATATTCACACGTTTCAGTGAGATGATGTTTATTCTGTTGAGATGTTAAGCCATATAAGATCTGTACAAAGGAAAAGTTCTGGTGAATTACAATCAACATGGACTTGCTTCCTTCCTCTTCATTCTGTGCATTTGCGCCGCAGAAAAGTTCAGTTTAGGATTTATTAAAAAGGGCAATTATAGGAGGCAAAACTTTTTTATTTCTCATGTCTGAAAAACACCTTTAATGACTGTTTGTGTTTCAAATGGACACTCAAGGTAAAGAAACATTACAAGAGCCGATTCAGATTTGAATATCTTTTTTCTTTTTTCTTTCTGGTTTCTGTGGGGAGTTTGCATGTTCTCCCTGTTACTGAATGAACTTTCTTCCTCCTACAGTGCATTGAAAGTAAACAGTGATTATAATTTGACCATATGAGTGAGCATGAATGGAGGTCTGTCTGTTATTTGGCCGTCTTCCATCTATTATATCTGATCTGGTTAATCTAACTGCTATTGCAGGTAAACACTGAGTTTGTACATGAAAGAGGAAACACTAATGAGGCCTCAGCAGTCTGAGGTAATCAGACCAAGGGGAAATCTTCCAAAGTATTTTTAGTGTGAAACTCCCTTTGGTTTGGCTGACACAGACTTCCAAAACCTCATATAAATTTCAGATGAACTTTAACACATAAACACTCTTTTAATGTCCAGCGTGAACATTTGGATTGCCAACAGTTTTAGGTCTCTGTTTTAAAGACCCCCTCCAGGACAAATCTACTTTAAGTGTTTGTTTTTGTACGTTTTTGTTAACATGTCCTTATTGCGTCCACAGTTCTGCCCTAAAAGTGCAGTGTGCCAATGAAAGTCTCAAAAACACAGATTCAAACTTCCAGGGTTTCATATGTCACAAACCTAAAGAACCAATCCTTGCAGGGTGGAGCTTTCTGCATCATTTCTGGTTAGAACACTTACGGCTGAAATACTCCAATATTGCAATGAAAAGTAGTTTTACAGTGTCCGAGCGGCGTCACAGGTGAGCTGGTGTGCTCCTGCTGTTGCGAGTGGTGGAGGAGTTGGTGGAATAAGAAGGGGGAACTTCACATCACAGATTTGCAATTTCTAGAAAAAGCAATGGTGTAGAGCTACATCTAAGACACTCTTCTGCATGTAACGCCCAAAATGTGTATACGTACCTGCAACTTACTGTGTGTTAATGTGTGGAATTCAACCCTCCAGACAGACGAGAGAAGTAATAAAACAACAACAGCAAAGTATTTGCCGGGTTTCTGTGCACCTCTACAAGGATGTATATCAAGACTTAAGGAATAGTTTTATGGAATAAAGATTAAAATATGTCATTTTGGTATGCAGATATGAGTTTTTAGGGGTTTAGTCAGCAGCTTGAGAGACTTAAAGGGCTGACCAGGGACAGCAGATCAAAATGAGCCTACATATGACTAAAAGCCTGTTGATGCTTTCTGCATCTGGTTGTCTGCAAGGTTATAGTTTATGTAAATTTCATCTGCAAGGGTCTGGATGTGCCCCTCTATGGCTGTTTGCCCAAAATTTGTGCAAATGCTGGCAGCAATGCCTGCAAAGAAAACCGATAGTGCTTAAAACAAATGCTTGTTTTTAGGAGAGACTGTAAAAGGAGATTTTTTTATCATCCACACCTTTATAAGCCATCACAAAAAGAGATGTAATTGAAGTAGTTGCTGCTGGATTTAAGAGAGGCTGTAAACTGTACAAGCTTTCCGTTGACAGAAACACAGTACGAAGTTCTAAAATCTCCAGCTATCCTGTGCTTTGTTTGTTCGCCCACTGTGCAGACATACTCACTGACTCAATCTGCTATATTGTGTAAAAAGTCGAAGCCTTTCAGAAACATCCACAGGAGGAGTTTTTCTTTATTCAATATGATGTTTGCATATTGTAGAATGAATAGAGTCCACATCGGACATGAAACCCTAAACTGACCTTAACTCCGTCTAACTTACAGCTCATTATTTCAACGTGTTTCAGTGCTGAAGGCCTGAAACCAGTGAATCTACTCTTTTACACTTTCAGCACAACTGTCATGATTGTATTCATATTTTGTGGGTAAAGTATGTGCTGACAGCGAGATCACAATCCCCAGCACTAATGTGAAGCCAGTGAATAGAGGTTTTGTGAGGCCCTCCAGCACATGGCCGTTGTCCATGTTTCACGTCTGGCATCGTAAAGGAATGCTAAACACACAGACGTGAATTTCTGTCTAACGAGGAGGCACCTACAGGCTTCCAATAAAATGCCTCTTTCTTCTGATTTTATTAAACGCTTGGATGGTTATGATTAGGATCGAGAACGAATAAATGTGTGAAGTCTGCCGATGTGAGAGGTTATAAAAAGACCACATCTGCCCGCAAGGCTGCTTCACACCTGGAAATAGACTGTATTTGATGAATGATATTTCTGCTTCTTTAATTAGAAAGTCTGCAACTCGCCGGTCGCCTCGCTTTGCGTTTTTCTGCCTTGAAAGAGAACAGTTAGCATCAGGCTGACAGCCTTTATCTTTCCCCTCTGTCACTCTGTCACACTGCTTCCCCAGTTAATTATACCTCCTGCCTGATGTCACAAAACGCCTCTTTTCTGTAATGCGTGACTGCATTTGTGTGTGTGCTGATGAAGGCAAGCCACAGCGAGAGGAGACAGCAGAGGACGGCAGATTAATCTCCAGAGTCGGAGGGAAATCGCTTTTATTGGGTTCACGTGTGAAGCAGCCAGCCGTGCTGTCAGTTGTAGTCGCGATTGAAACGTCCACATAACAGAGGATTGTGCTGCAACGCTTCAGCGCCGAACACAACAAAGACATCAGTACAGGCAGCATATACTGAGTGCATGTGATGAAAACCATAAAGAGGCCATAAGTCTCCAACACTGTCACACTTTCACATGCATTTTGAAAATGAATGCTCGATTAAAGGAGGGCGATTCAGGAGGGAGTCTCAGTTTACGTGTTGATCGCTGACATGACTTCTGAAAGGACAGTCAGCCTCCATCTTTCTTTAATAATTCTCACGTTTTATCTCTTTTTCGTCCAGCTGTGTGACGCAACAGGCCGGTTTTAAATAAAGGCCGTGATTCTTATCACAACCTGAATCAGAAGCTGAACTGCTTTTTGTCGTTAAAGACACCTTAAAGCTTCACAGATATTTTTTTGGCTTGCATTATAACCTGAAACCGTATGGAAGCAAAAAAAAAAAATTCCACAATTATTCAATTATTTTAAAGCAACAGGTTATTTAACTGTGAACTTTAGTCAGTACAAAACACCTACAGCCATAAAAGTCAAAACCCCATTTTTGATAAAAATGTATGTAACAGTCGGTTTTCAAAGGTAGACGGTTCAGATATGCTCTCATTGGACCAAATTTTCATTGGTTGGAGACTCTCCAGGAGCAAAGTTTTACATCAACAACCTTCCAGGATTATTCCATTATTTTTGGCAGCAGGTAGAACTTACTAGCCCTGAACACAACTGCACTTTCATAACTTTACACTGGTCCAACCTGATGGAAACTGCTGGGTCAAACGTATTTTACTAAATTTTACTTTAAGCCCAAACTAATAGTCTCTGTTGTATTCCTCTGTGGTTCTTGTTCTGGATCACCTGATATATAATTTAAGAAATCATAATGAATATGTGCAGCTGCTCTGCTTCCAGTCTGTTGTGATCATTTCAGTATTAAATAGTCAGATTCAAATAATTTAATATGATGCAAATAGTAGCTTTTTATGTTGATCTTTGATTCATTTAAGCTTAAGAAGGCTGCAGGCCGAGTCACTTGGTGCACCGTGGCTCATTCATTTAATCTACAGAAACAAGCAGTTTCTTTATTCCATGCAACCAATCGATTAGTTGAAGACTCAGTTTCAACCAGCCAAGATTTGCTTTGCTTTGCTTCAGCTCTACTGTGCTGGATTTAATTGTCCGTCACATGCACTACGTATACACAGTAAATGATGTTTTCATGTAATCCAGCATTTATGTTTCCCTTCCCTGATATCAGCCCTATTGTTTGCTAGTTCTTCTCTGAAATCGGTTTTATACCTGGATAGGATTCTTGCTAATACAAACAAAACATTTGTTCTGTTACTGTGATACGTAAAGTTTGGTAAGTTTGTGTTTTACAGGTTGACTTAGAAATGCTTAGTCATTGTATCAACTGCTAATTTCTTCATAATGTGTCTCTTGCCCTATAAAACCAACATACTGACAAGTTAAAGACCTGATTTTTCACCAGAGAGGACCTTTAGAAAACATATTAAGCTTCTAAACTTGTACAAATTGGAGAATGCCCTCTGTAGATTTCTAAGAAACTCAAACCACATAAGTGTGATATATGGATCTGAACGTAAAAAAAATTATAATCACATTCTGTGGTTTCTAGAGCTCAACTGTCAAGTTTCTTACCTCTATTAATGCTATGGAACTGTTTGTTGTGAACTATTTTGTTGGTTCTGAGCATCACTTTAAGCCTTATCGCAATTTAAACAAGGTGAGACCAAAAATGTTTTTTTTGTTCCAGGCTGTAAACATATTTATTTCTGTTGTAAAGTTGAACATTTTAACATGAGAGTCGGACTCGGTTATGGAGCCTCAAGTGGACGTTTGAGGAACTGCAGTTTCTCTTCCGCTTTGGCTTTATTTTTCAGCCGTGGTTGCTGATTGGTGCAGAGACATGAGAAGAAACATGCATGAACACAGTTGACATGATGCACATTCACTGGTAGTTACCCCACTCATTGACAGGTGGCGCTAATGAGCCAAGATAGCAGCAACACGCCCCCAGAGGCTGTAAATAAAAGCCTGTATATAAAGATGGATGTATTCTTTCAAACAGCCAGCAGGGAGCAACTCCTCTAGTTGTGGAAAAAAGAAGTCAGATTGTATAGAAGTCAATGAGAAAATGAACTTACTTCTGACTTGATTTGTTACCACAGTAAACCTTTTCCTAATGAGTTTATGGTTTCAATCTTCAGTTCAAAGCCTCCTTCAGTACAGCATGTAGTAAATGATGGTCCCATTTAGAGGAAAGACGATGATAATGCAGGGTGTCTTTTAGGTGATTGAGCCACCCCTTGTTCATTACATTTAGTTGCGAAACAGAAAGATGGGCAAATTGTAAACTCAAGTTTTGAAAATATTAATCCACAAACCACAGTGGCTCTATCCATCTTTTATATACAGTCAATGGTGTTCACAGGAAAACTCCACAGAGCACAAAGTAATCAGCAGGGGTTGCATTTCAAAAGTGGGCATTGAGTAGCTCATAAAATTTAAAGCTATTATTTCTTTGCTTCCATAAAACCCTCATTTATTTGCTCAGATTCTAAATTTAAGCTCTGAATTCTTCGTGGTTTGAGAAAACTGGAATTTTAATGATAGAAAAAAAACCCACAATCTGAACAACGAGACATAAATTCAGATAAACTGACCACAAGTCGTGGAGGCCAATGAGCCCGAGACACACAGAGCATGAATTATACGCGAGTTTCTGTATTCATCATGAGGAAAATGTTTGCAGAGCAACCATGGAGCTGTTTTGACAAATGTTTCCTCCAAGTCAAAACACTGGACGTGTCTTTAGTAACGATACATGACAGTTTTATCAGTTCGGCATGATAGTAGCTGCAGTTACAATAATGTTTGACAAATATTCAAATAGATTACATTTTAAATGAACACTGACAGTCTATCGACAGTCTGAGCCGCCAACCGGAGGCTGGTCAAACCCTTCTTTCATCCTCAGGGCTCCTTTCGCAGGCTCCTCTTTATTGTCCACTTGATGAGCTCTCCTGTCAGCGTCGGTCATGTTTTACACAGCGAGATGAAAGTCAGCGGGGAGTGTGTAAAATGTTATTGGGAGAATGAGCTCTGTACAGGTGCCCCTCTATAGATCCACCACATGTCCGGGCCAGTTCTCGCCGAGCCTCGTCCTTTCCCATGCTGCTTTTTAACGAGGCGTGTTGTTTTGTTGTTGAACGCACGGTGGGGTTTTTTATGGAGCTGGGAGAAGGCTGTTACGGATATTTGTAATGAGCTCTCATACTGCGGTTTGCGAGCGTGTGTGTTATGAATTACAGAGGCCTGTAATGAGTGCAGTGTGTCTCTGCAGCGAGGAGGGTCTCTGAGTGGCCCATGGGAGCAGCAGTTTGTGGTGTCTGGCCTTGTAAGCTGGAGAAAAATGCTTTGCATGGTTTGTACTGATTGAAACGCACATAATGGAGAAGGTATAGTATGTTCTGTCCCAGTCCCAAGGGCTGCAGCTCAATTTTTAAGGCCCACGTGAGTGCCCCAAACTATCACTCCCAAGTTAACAACAAGCATCTCTGGGGCAATTTTCTGATCCAATAATCAACCAAAGCGCTCTGGACAGCTTTAAGGTTAAGAAAAATGCCGGATCTGGAGAGTCTTGAGGTCCTGGGAGGTTGCTGCAGCCTGCTCAGCTGCACTCCTCGCAGTTGCAGGCCAGGATGTATCTGTACGTGGCCGTGATACGAGTCCCGCCGGCGCAGCGCAGCCTCACCGCCTTCAGCTTGGAGGTGTGTGGCCGGCAGCAGGAGCAGGTGCTCTTGAAGGGCTGTTTGAGCACCGAGCTGAAGGAGATGAGCGGGTCGGAGCGGGTCGTGTGGCTGCAGTGGCCCTCGCAGCGAGCCAGTAATACCATCTGGAAGACAGAAGAGGCGAGAGTTAAGAAAACACAGATAAGTCATTCACACGGGTTTTTTGCGTGACCTTCAGGGTCTGTCAGGGATGAGAAAAACGGCCTGCAAGCACAATGAGGCAGTGTTTGAGTCGGGTCTAAAAGCGAGCGGCCTGTTCGGGCTCCAACTGTCTCCTCGGCTTCAGCCTTGCACCTGCAGAATGAGAGATAGCAACAAGACCAGTCACACATTCCTACACCTGCTGCAGCTCAGAGCTCAGGGTCACACGCCGCCACTCAAAACAGGCTTTCCACATTTTGCTGTGCAGTTTGGAGGGAACAAACCACTACAGACATCCTGATCAAAAACTTTTTTCAGCCTCCGATCCGATCCGAGCCATTTAATGTCAATGTTAATTCAATATCTGCCAAAAGGATTGTATAAATTCATCAGTGGATGAGGTTGTGGCCGCCAGGGGGCATCGGTTAGACTGTTCTTGAAGACAAAATGTCCCTTTAGTTAATTTATTTATCACCAAACAGAGGTGCAGGTGGTTCTCAAACAAATGAATAAATAGCAATAAGTAATAATAAGTGTGTGCTTGTTACATGCATTATGATTAAAACACCCGTCAGCTGAAATCTGCAGGAACAAAGAATGACAAACTCTCAACTTTCACGCTACAAGAGAACAACCCTTGATCCCTTATTAAACATGCAGCAGCAACAGCATCAACTATTATTCCAGGTCCTTGCAAACATCAACAATAAGCTAATGTTAACAAGACAAATGAAAGCACAACACACATTATTAAAAGTGAAACTAAACAGACAACATGCTTGTTGTTTAATACTGTAGCGGTCAGTCGGACTACTGGCAGTTTCTTGTCGTCAAGCAGAGAGCATAGTGGGAGTTTAATTAGCAATGGGCATCATGACAAAGACTTCTGTGACGTTTAAAGCTCATGTGTTCAGTTTGAGATTGACTGGACAGTATTGTCTCAGTAGAATATGCAACAGAGGCACATTTCAAGCCCATACCATATGTCTGTTGACGAAAACAACTACATCAGCACAGGAAAAATGTCTTCTCAATTTGTGGATGCACTTGTGGCTGCCAGGAGGCATTGGTTAGAATGCAATTAAGGACAAAATGTTCCTTTTGTTTAATTATTTATCATCAAACAGAGGTGTGTGAGGTTCTGAAACAAAGAAATGAACTGAAATTAGTTTAAAAAAAAATAATAAAAAAAAGTGTGTGTTTCTTACATGCCGTACAAACCTACAGAAGTTAAATCACACCTTAGCTGAACATTTGGAGTAACAGAAGAAGAAGGATGACGAACTATCACAATATAAGAAAACACATCCTCAAATCCCCTCAATAAACATGCAGCAGCAACCGCATCAACTAGTATCAACTATTATACTACGTCTTTACAAGCAACGATAAGCAAATGTCAGTCATTACTAAAAGCGAAAGTAAACAGATAACATGCTTATTCTTCAATACTGTAGCGGTCACTCGGACTACAGGCTGTTTATGTCGGCAAGCAGAGAGCATTGTGGGAGTTTAGCTCGCTACGGGCACCATGACAAAGACTCTTAATGATCTCCAGCTACAGGCACTTCATGTTGGCAAGGTGAGAGCACTGTGTGGATTTTGTTAGCAATGAGCACCATGACAAAGACTTCTGTGATGTTTAATGTTTAAAAAAAGTTGACATTGGCTTGGACAGCATTGCTTTATCCTGATAGCGTTTAGTGACACAGGTACCGTCCAAAGTCAACTCATGTGGTAACTAAAACAGGGAAACAGTTGCTCAGTGATACCAATTAACTGACTACCAACTGATAAACCTGCCATGTGTGAATTAAGAAAATACAGTCGTGACTTGTCATTCCAACTCTTAACAATCAGAAAACCTTGCTGTCTGACAGTTTTTTAGGAAAAACAAAACAGAAGCCATTAAAAATAGCCTTAACATACTGACAGCCTTGGATTCCGACTCCGACATGACATTTAATGTCACAAATTAGGACAACAGCGTATTATCTGACTTAATAATCCGACAGATTTACTTACCTTTGATATCAACCGACGGGCCCGTGCACAAGCGGACCGGTCAGTTAGGTGTGAAATCTAGTGATGTGTATGTTCTAAGAATACACTAGTCCCACTCATTGAGTGAATTTGCCCAACTAATGAAGTCGGTTGGCATCAGTTTGTCTACATGTGTGGAACACAGGAAGGATAAGTTTGGTGCTTTGAAGTTCTTTGAAGTATTAAACAATGTGACATGTTTTGACACCTGAATTGTATGTATGAACCTATATATATACTACGGTTGTATTGGGCTTATCAATCATAGAAACAAGTTGCTTTGATACTGTTACACGCCAGATATCATACGTAAAATTGCATGTACCAAGTTTATTTTGTTTCATATAAATCATAACAATATCATATACGTAGATAGTTTATTATAACAACTATAAAACAATAATTATTAACAACAAATTACCCTTCAAGCATCAAGCCCTCCTTGTATCTCAACCTCCGTCTTGACAATCCGACAGCCTTGCTACCCGACATAAAAGAAGGTTTTACATTTAGTGTCGGATTATCAAGTCACGACTGTCATCAAAATTTGCTTGGCTAGTGTCCTACCACCAATTGTGCCCTCCTTTTATGACATTATCTACAACGATGTTAATATATTTAATGAAAAACATTTACTTTTACTATAAATACTGTCTGAAATACAGGCCCTCGGAGTACATAGAAGTGTTGGGTGCATTATCTATCATGCTATACCTGTACATATCAGTATGTATACTTATCATGTCATATGTGTGCATGTCCACATGTAAATTCATTTATTCATTCATTTACTATATCTTTATTTTTCAGCCTTATTACACTTTTGTAGTTCTTGTCCTGCTTCTTCCATCCCACATCTGTATCCAGCTGCTGCGACATGTCAATTTCCCTGGTGAGGGAACAATAAAGTTGATTCTGTCTTAACATTAATGAAAAAGTGTGATATGTCCACCCACCCCATATCGTTTGAGGGTCTGGGACTCCACATTTGGTGATAGTATTTGTAATCAGGCTTATGTTCGGGCCAGTGCCAAGCCTGATCTTTGAGATTTGACCAGGACATCCCCACAAACCACCGTACTGAGCCTTTCCCCAGTTTCACCAGTCAGCTCAAACACACTCACACACACACAAAGCTCCGGCCTGATTAGTGTTGTGACCGTCCGACTGGCATTCCTCGGTGGGTCACTACATTCCTGTCGCCTCCCTAAACAGACTCCTGTGTCATGTCCTTCTGTCAGCTGCTGTGTGTCGCCACCCATGTACCCGCTGTGACAAAAGCCTGTCTGGGGCCACGACAGGGTGACGCACAAACACACATCAGGAGTGTTGTCGCCACTTTAAGACCATTTGTCTCTGTCTCGGTCGAGGGATCAGGATATCAAGCATATCTGCACCTTCCCTGCTCCTCCCTTTCATTCATGAGCAGCTACATTAAAAACGCAGACACACTCAGGGGTCAGTGATAATCTGCTGGATTTACTGAGTCAGTCAGAGAGAAGAACTCCCCAAAGGAGCAGCGCCAACACAGTGGTGTAAAGATACTGTTAGGAGAAAGAGGGAAAGTTTGTCAGTACCACAGGACAACCTAACACATAGTTAAGCATGCAAAAGAGTTACAAGCCTTGGAATGACATAGTGGTGGCTTTTAATTCGCATGATCTCACTCGATTTCTATTTTTTTAACAATCATTTTAGATTATTTTTAAACTTTTATTCTATTTTTTTATTCTCTTTTACCCTTTATTTATTCACTAATTTACCTATTAATTTTGCATGGTTGCTATTGAATCAAATCAAATCAACATTATTACAACTATTAATATCATTTTTAGCCTTGTGTTTAGGGTTTTACCCTCTTCTCTTCTTTTTCCCACTTATTCCTTTCCTAACTTGGATGTGGAATTCTATTAATTTATCTGGTGTTGTTGTACTCATTTATTTAGAAAATATTGTACCATGTTCGGACCGGCCTGCCTTCTGTTGGTCAACACTCCTGAGTATCCTTTTTTGGACTGTTTGTGAAATTCAGTGTAAACTCAGTTTTTCAAAGGTGCCACATTAACAAAATTATCATCAGTGTTCAACCTCATAACATCTTATTCCAGGAGACACACGTGAAATTTCTCCTGCAAACATGACGAGAAAATGTCCTGTGCTTATGAAGTTATGAGGGCTCAAAAATGCTGAGAAAAGTAACATTTGCTCCCAAAACCAAGAACAAAACTTTGTTCTTTCTTTCCAGCTCTTCAAGATCAACAACAAAACCTAACACTGTTGACTGATTTGTTAGATTCTCTACAATCTTAACCAACGGGTGACCATAACATGAAAAGGACGGAGGAGCAGGAACCAGCACAGATCAAATCAAAGGTGCAACATTGAATGTTACTGTATAACTGTGAAGTAAATTCATTCAAGTTGTTTACTGTTGCTTTACAATAAAAGGAACAAATGGTACAATATTTAAAAGGGTCCTAATAATTACAGCAGAAAATAGGAGTCAGGTGAACGTTTTATTGATTCAAATTTTAGCTTTCTGTCCTAACAAACATGGCCAGAAAAAAAAGGGTTTAATCACCACAAACTCTTTTAAATCTCTTCTTAAAACTCACTTTTACCATACGGCCTTTTCTTAACTGCTTTGGGATCTTTCTGCTTTTTATATTTTTTATTGTTTTATCCTATTTGTTTTTTACTGTGAAGCACTTTGTGTTTTGAAAGGTGCTATTCAGATAAAGGTATTATTATTATTGTACATTTCAGCCACTTTACCAGATTTTTACAGAATGTGTGTTGTGGTGTCAGTGTAATTTCAGTGCATCAGCTCCAGTCAGCCCAACACCTTAAATACACACCTACTTACTCACAGCAAGCGCGCCGGGTGCAGGTGGATTTTGTGTGAACTCGTGTACACTGA